GATAGAAATGTCAATGATGAGAATCATTGATCAGCTGCCTCCTGCATACCCCCCACCGGGGATCGAGCCTGCAATCTGGGCATGTGCCCCAACCGGAAATTGAACCATGACCTCCTGGTTCATATGAAGCTCAACCATTGAGCCACACTGGCGGCCAGGCTAATTTTTAAGTTGATAATTTTATATGGCCCGGAAATGATGTTAGAAATATTCAAATGGCCCTTGGCGGAAAAAGGTTCCCAATCCTGCTACAGAGCCTGTGGTCTTTCTTATTACATTTTAAGGGAAATGAAAGTTTCTGAGTGAGAGATCAGCATATTTGCAGTGGGGTAGTAATGGGGAAGGAAAGACTGAATAAACTGGAGAGGGGATGAGATTCATTCATTCAACAGCTGTTTAATGAGTGACTACTACATGGTAGGCGCAGTGCTAGGCACTGTGGTCAATGATGAATTGGCTGGACTGGGGCCAGCCCTCGCAGAGCTTGGCCTGGCATGAGCCGGGGTGTTCACAGGTCAGGAAACGGTGGACCACAACAGACAGGAGGGAGCTTAGTTCCCAGAGGAGGCACACTTCTTCCTCTGACCCAGAAGAGGGCCCAAGGTTGAGAAAGTGTAAGGAGGGGAGAATTTGTTGAAGATATCAGGAAATAAGAACGTGGGCATTTCTTGATTTAAAAAATATTTTTTTTCAGATCTCTTTAAAAAAATTGTATTTGATTTCCGAGAGAGTGAAACACAGATTTGTTGTTTCACTTATTTATGCATTTGCTGGCTGATTCTTGTAATTTATGTGCCCTCCTTGGGGCCCAGTCCTCACAGGGCTCTATCTGGCCTGAGTGGAGGCCAGGAAATGGTGGACCACAAGAGGCAGCAGGGAGTTCAGTTCTCAGAGGAGGTACGTTTCTTCAAACTCACAATCTTGGTGTGTCAGGACAATGCTCCAACCAACGGAGCTACCCAGCCGGGGCCTTAAATATTTAGAATTGTCATGAGAGCGATTCTTAACATTTTAGATCACGGAACCTTTTGAGTATCTAATGAAACTATAGATTCTCTCCAGAAAAAATGCATTCACACAAGGAATTCATCAGCTCCTGAGGTACAGATTATATAGCTTTGTCTTTGAGCCAATGGGTTAGGGAACTAACTCCACAGAGGAGAGGCAATCCCAGCCTCATTGCTCAGCTTAGACCTTCAGCATGTTTAGAGATTGACAGGGAGAGGCTAGGACACCCCGCCAGGCCAAGAGGAATGCTCCCGTTTCTCTCCACGCCCAACACCCTCCTCCTCACTTACGGGATCTGGAGTCACTGACATGGGTCTGGGATCTGGCTGGCAAGAGCCGAGGCTTCAGAGCTGGAAACAAAGCGGCAGAATCCACCCAACAGAACTCTTGCTTCCACCTTCTGACACTTATCTCCCCTCAGAGCCTGAAATGTACTTCAGAACATTCTGCCTACAGGCTCTCTGCTTCCACTTTCATTTCTGGGAAGTCCCTGCCCATTTAGTGCTCACATGGCCAGCTGCTTTTCCCCACCCCTGGGAGGAGACTTCCGGGTCTCTAAGTCAACTTCACCCAGCTATGTGGCCTTAGGGCAGCGGTTCTCAACCTGTGGGTCGCCTAAGACCATCGGAAAACACATATATAATTACATATTGTTTTTGTGATTAATCACTATGCTTTAATTATGTTCTATTTGTAACAATGAAATCGGGGGTCACCACAACATGAGTATTAAAGGGTCGTGGCATTAGGAAGGTTGAGAACCACTGTCTTAGGGGAAACTACCTTACTAAATGCAAACTAAACTCTGGCCCCAATCAACCATTCCCAACCTTTCCATCCCAGAAGCCCATTGGTAGAAATCTTGTCTGCTTGGTTAATAGATATTTCCCTAGAGCCCAGAATAATGCCTGGCACACGCAGACATTGATAAAACAACTGAATGACAAATGCAACCAGGACAAAGCCACTCCAAGTTCACAAAGTTGTTACAATAGCATTTATTAAGCGCTGCTGTGTCCAATACTGGTTCTGTTTTGCATGAATTAAACTCAATCTTCAAAACAACCTTAGTTCTTTCCAGATTTTACAGATGAGATCCTAAACTTCTGAAGGACACAAACTTGCCCACTGTCACATTATAGGAAGTGAAGCATGTATCCAAACTTGGACAGTATTTGAACTTGGGCTTTGAGGCATGAGAACTTGAATTTTTAATCAAAGCAGGGTTTAAACTCATTTCCACTTGGGACTCGAGTACAAGCTAACAGGAGGGTTTCAATAGAGATGCCCAATACTTAAAGGTGAGAGGAGCCAAAGTGAAGTACATGAAACACTGTATTTTCATCTAGTCCAGGGTTTTCACACCAGTAATTTATGAGCCCTTCTCACAGCCCCCCACTCCAGGTGGAAGTGTGCCTCAGGCTTGGCGAATAGGTAGGTCTCTGGATCCTAGTTTCACTGTGACTGAGAACCAGTTCAGCTGGAGAGCCTCTCATCCCTAAAACAGGGTCACAAGTATCCCAAGCCCTCGAGAATCACACCCTTTAAAAAAAATTTAAAATACTGATTTCAGAGGGAGAGGGAAACGATGAGAATCATGGATTGGCTGCCTCCGGTACATCCCCTACTGGGGATTGAGCCTGTAACCCTGGCATGTGCCCTGACCTCCCGATTCATAGATCAATTCTCAACCACTGAGCAACACCTGCTGGGCACACCCTTTTTTTTGGGCAGTCTCTGCTAGCCCAGGCTGTTAGGGGACCTCTCCCTGGTCCCACTAGAAATGGCTGCTCTTGGCCTGGCCCCCTCCAGTGTGGTCCTCATGGGAGGAGCACCAGTATCACCAGACAACTTGCTAGAAAGTCTTACCAACTAAATCTGACCCATAGGGTGACTCTGGTTTGACAAACCACCTGTGCTAAGGTGTGAGAACCTCAGGTTAGTTCTCAATCTGAAGGTCAGTGCACATCACTCAGAGGGGCGTTTGGTTGTCCTCTGGTGGTGGGTGGGCAGGTTCTCTAAGGACGTAAAGAGCTGAAGTCAGGGATGCCAAAAAACTCTGCACCTAAAAATGTCAACAGTAGCCCTTTTGGGAAGCGGTTCATTAAAGGATTATCAAGCTGAGAACTAGCTGAAGTCTCCCAAAGGCAGATTTAACTTTTATATTTTTTCCATAGCCCCTCATCCACCAACCTTTTATCTTAAGACCATTCTCCTTTCCCAGATGAATAAATAATACATGCAACAGGCAGACACGGATATTTTTTTTGGATTTTTAATGACAGAAACAAAATGTATCTAAAACCGCAGCTTCTGGAAGAACCATTTGTTCTTGCCGGTCTTGTATCTAGTGGGAAAACAAGGACATCAATGAGAGGAGGGAGAGACAAACTTCTCTTTAGGGGACTTAGCAACACCACACCCCAATATCCACCACCAAAACCTAACTTACCTCTCTTCAAACTTGACTTTGGCCTCCCGCCGGGCCTTGCGTTTTAGAGCAGGGTCTCTGAAAACGTCCTTGTTGACAACAGTTTTGTCCAAGGGGATATCCACAGAGTACCTGGGGACAATGGTGGGGAGTTGGATTAGCCCGTATGCTGCCAGGGCCTCCGCAGTCACCCAAGTCCTCCCGGGACAGTAGGGTACCAGGTTCTGCCTCCACAGGAACAACCGTCAAAAGCTATCCCAGCCGTAACCGGTTTGGCTCAGTGGATAGAGCAACGCGGCCTGTGGACTGAAAGGTCCCGGGTTCAATTCCGGTCAAGGGCATGTACGTTGGTTGCAGGCACATTCCCAGTAGGAGGTGTGCAGGAGGCGGCTGATAGATGTTTCTCTCTCATCAATGTTTCTATCTCTCTCTCCCTTCCTCTCTGTAAAAAGTCAATAAAAATATATATTAAAAAAAGTTTTGTTTTTTTTTTTTAAAAAGCTATCCCAAAGTGCTGATAGGCTTGGGAAATCTCTAATATTAAGACTCATTTACATAAATTTAAGCCATTGGAAAACTTCACACTTCACTGTCAATTTTCCCATCTACTTATTTTCTAGCTACGAACCATCACTGTATTAGAACTTTACTTGATTCCTAGTGGGTGGCTGGCTTTCTATTTAGAGCCATTGTATTTAGTTCTGTTCAAGTTCTGCCTACGCAGGGTGTCTCATTATGACAATGCAAGAGCTGGGCAGCTAGCTGCCTCAATCTCAGTTTTCCAGCACATGAGAAAGGGCCCTGCTCTCTTAGGTCAGCACATTAAGAGCAAATAGCAAATCCCACCAGCCACTTTAAGGCACATGCTGCTGGGTTTGGCAATTCTTGTTCAGAGGTCTTTCAAATCTTATATTCCTTTATCACCCTTGTACCAGGATAGCAGATGCGCTGCACAATATTGTGAAAGGCCAGGAGATAAAGGACCTGGCAGTCAAATGAAATCAAGGGAGACTTGCTTTCCTTGGTTCATTTTTGAAAGCCTATAATGACTTTCTGTGAGAACGGCACAGCGGAAGAGGTGGGCAGGCCAGATCCCATGCCTGTGTTTACTGTGGATGGAAACAAATCTTTACTCAACATTTAGAGTTTTCAGGTAAGAAAGACAAAGAGCAAGCTTGGAGATTTTCAATTAGGCTTGGCAAAGTTAGGGAAACCACCAAAGAAAATGACATGAACATGGTCCCAAGATGTATGAAAGGGGCAGGATTGGAAACCACAGCCACTTTGTGACAAACTGAAAATGGTGTCTCCCCCCAGATGGCTGCAAGGTTGTCTCCTTATTCAACAAAGCGGGGGGGAGGGGACCTAAAGTCCCATTATTGAAATGCTCACCTTGTGGGCATGAGGTGATTGTAGTTATAAACTTTCACAAAAGACTTGATCTTTGACCTCTTGGCAATTTTCTTCTTGCCCATGGCAGCTGTCACTTTTCGGGGGTAGCGGTCAATTCCAGCCACCAGAGCATGGCTGTAGGGGCGGTCCGAGGTGCCATCATCAATGTTCTAGATGAGCAAGATTTACATTTAGGATCAACTGAAAGCCTAGCTAGGCCCTGTGCTAGAGGCAGGCGTGCACAGAAAGATCATCCCCACCCCCATGTCTCTGAGACCCACCATCTTACAGAGAAAAACCACATAAAGCAGACACACTAAGTGCTATGCCAGATGCCCAGAGCAGTGAGGGTTAGGGTGGCATTCATGCCCACCAGGAAGAATTTGGGCTCCTGGGAGGTAAGAGGTTTTAAAAGAAGAACAGTTATCATCTATGAAGTCAGTCCTTGCGACCCGCCAAGCACTGGTTCTTAGGAGCAGAGGCAGGCAGCCCAACTCCAGTCTCAAGAAGGTGGGGGGAGGGGAACCAGGAGTTCCAGTGCCCCCCAAACAGCTAAGAGCAGTGCTATATGCGGTCAGACGTTAGGGACATTTCAAGAAGCTAAAAGATGAAGGCAGCAGGCAAACAGTGAAGGGCTGCAATTCGCTAAATAACCATTTTGATAGAAACAATTCCTCTTCCCTTACAGAATCCCAGCTGCAGCACTTACTATCTGACCTCAGGTGAGTTAGCGAACATCTCTAAACCTTAGCAGTAGGAAGAACCCTCTATGGCAGCGGTTCTCAACCTGTGGGTCGCGACCCCTTTGGGGGTCGAACGACCCTTTCACAGGGGTCGCCTAAGACCATCGGAAAACACATATATAATTACATATTGTTTTTGTGATGAATCACTATGCTTTAATTATGTTCAATTTGTAACAATGAAATCGGGGGTCACCACAACATGAGGAACTGTATTAAAGGGTCGCGGCACTAGGAAGGTTGAGAACCTCTGCCTAGGGTTACTGCAAGGATTGGGCACGAAAGCATCTGTAAGGCAATGTACCAGGCACCAAGCAAGCGTTCAATAAGCGTTGGCCATTATCACTCATGCATTCACCCCCACCCCTACACGCAATGCTCAACGGCTCATGTCCCAAACTGGGTCTTCAATTCCAAGCTCGCGGTCCTCCGAAACCGGCCCAGTTCCGGGAAACACGGGCGCACAGGCTCGCAAGGATGGTACCTTCACGATGACGGCTTTGCGTCCGGAGTAGCGTCCGGCCAGGACCAGCACCACCTTCCCGGGTTTCATAAACTTGCCCATTTCTGCAGAGGAACAAGGGGCCCCTAAGAAATTCGCAAGCCCAGGCTGCGGGCTCTCGGAACTTCAGGCTGCGTTTACTGTCGTCCTGGCCCAGGCCGCCCACGGGCCCTGTTCACGGGACGGGATCCGCTACGAAGCCGCCAGAGCCAGAGGAATGGAAAGTACTCGGAATCACCCCGCAACTCGCCCCCCAGGCCGCGGATGGCGGTGGATTGGAAGACCCTCCCCAGGGCTGCACTCACCGAACGTAGCCACTCGGGCCTAGAGCAGAAAGGAAAGAACCGCACTTCCGCTAACCTTTCACCCCGGAGGTGGTGATCTCACTTCCGGTACCGCCCCTTAAGTCTCAACCCGCCTCTTGCGAGGCCCTCAGACTCTGGTTGCTGGCGGAAGAAGCTTCTATGGGGAAAGCAGGGCCTGGCTGCTTATTTATTCAAATCAAACTTTATTAGTAGATCCGGCAGAAGAAAAGAGCCAGGGAGTGCCGCCTATCGCCTACGGATGGAAGAGCAAGGAAGGCATGTATGCGCCAACCTTTTGTAGTTCCATTCTCTGACGCTAGGAGGGGACAGAATTTGAAATTTACTTTTTTGCCTTGGAATAGTCAGGGAGCAAAATAGAACTTTTTTTTTTTTTTTTTTTTAGTGTCCACTGTGTGACCTGCTGTTGGTCGTAAGGAGGGGGAGATGAGCATTAATCAAGCAAGGGTACTTGCCCCCGACATTTAGAGTGTCGTGATGTCATAGACATTACAAGCTAGCAGTGAAGGAGGTGAGAGACGCTGATGGTGATAGCAGCTGTTTACCCTTTGCTAAATCGCGTTAACCTGTTTACGGAAATTACCTCATTTGATCCTCAACAACACTAGGAGATAGGTATTATTATCTCCATTCTACAGTTGAAGAAACTGTATCTTAGAGAAATTAAGTAATTTGCCCCAAGACCACAGCTAGTAAGTAAGTGGTGGAGCTGGGACACAGACTCAAGCAGTGCTTCTGTTTACCCTGTCACTGTACCGAGCACCGACTATGCTAGGCAGTTTAGGTAAGCCCACAGCCTTTTTAATGCTCACAACTCTGCATCTTGGCTATTTTCTTCCCATGTAGACATGAGGAAACTGAGATTCAGAGAGGATGTTACCTGAGATGGGCTTCAAATTTAGGTTTGAACTCAGGTCTAGCTGGCTCTCAAATGGAATTATTTTCCGTCACTCATTGGAAGTTTTTTAAAAAATATATTTTTCTTGGCTTAGCCGGTTTGGCTGAGTGGATAGAGCGTCGGCCTGCGGACTCAAGGGTCCCGGGTTCGATTCCGGTCAAGGGCATGTACCTTGGTTGCGGGCACATCCCCATAGGGAGTGTGCAGGAGGCAGCTGACTGATGTTTCTCTCTCATTGATGTTTCTAACTCTCTATCCCTCTCCCTTCCTCTCTAAAAAATCAATAAAATATATTTTTAAAAATATATATATATTTTTCTTGACTTCAGAGAAAAAGGGAGAGGGATCATTCATCGGCTGCCTCCTGCATGCCCTCTATGGGGGAATCAAGCCTGCAACCCTGATGTTCCCTGACCAGGTATGGGTGTGTGACCTCCTGGTTCATAGGTCGATGCTCAACCGCTGAGCCACACCCAGCCATGCTGGAAATGTTTTTAGATGTTTCTTTAGGTGTCTTCCAAGTTCAAAAGGAAGATAAATCATTTTACAGTTATTGCTCATCTGAACATTGAAAAATCTATAGGATTGGTCGTGGGCAAGATGTTGGACAAATCAGGGTTTCATCAATTTTTTATTATTCTCCAGGGACTAATTTTTCCCTGCAGGCGTTAGGACCCCATTCCAATGGTTTATCCCCCTAATTATGTACTTAAATTTCTATATTCAACTAAAATATTTTCTACTTTAACTTGGAATATGACATTTTAGAGTTGGAAGGGACCTCAGAGATCATCTACTCTGGCTTCTAAAAGATGACAGTTCTACAGCAGCAAAGTTCACAGAGCAAGGTCTCCCCATTTCCAATCCAGTGATCTTCTCACTATAATACATTTCCTTATCCATTTTTACTTCCATGGTCTCCTCCCAACCTCATCTGCTTCTGCCTCTTTTGCTGTTGCTCCCTTGGAAAATAGAAACCAAACCCTAATATTTTATAATTGTCTGGACTCATCTCACAAACACTCTCCCAATCAAATTAGTAACTAAACCCTGTGAATTTTGCCTTATGACATTTTAAGTATTTTTTTTCTATCCTTTTCCACCTGCTCCCTAAATGACCCAGCCTCAGTTCTTTTTCTTCTCCAGTCCTTCTTCAAACTTCTGTGTGGCTCAGAAGTGCTTGGGGGTGCTTATTCAAGATGCATCTCCAACTCAAAATTCAGGTCTGGAGTGGAGCCCTATGATGTATAGATCTTGAGAAATTTCTCTAAACACAACTCTCAAGTCTACCACTTGTCTGCTTGAAATACTTTGTTGGCTCTTTGTACCTGTTTGAACTCTCACTCCTTCAGCGTAAGTTCCTGACTCCTCCATATACTTCGTGTACCACTGGAGTTCCATCCAGCTCAACTACTCAAAAGTCCAACCTCTTCTGATCCCTGGGTCTTTACTCAGGCTGTTCCTCATGTCTTTATTCTTCTCAGTAGGCAAGCAAAATCTTACCCATCCTTCAAGGACACTCCCAGGAAGAATCAATCTCTTCCTTCTCTGTTCCTTGTTCCTTCAACAATCCAATCTAAACTTACCTTTATTATAGAACATATCTTAGTTGGTTTGGATCAGTGGTTCTCAAAGTGTGGTCCCCATACCAGTAGCAGCAACAAAACCTGGGAACTTGTTAGAAATGCAAAGAGCATGCTTTATTTTTAAATCCTCACCCGAGGGTATTTTTCCATTGATTTTTTTAGAGAGAGGGAAAGACAGAAATATAGATTTGAGAGAAACACATCAATTGGTCACCTCCTGCATGTGCCCCAACCAGGGCCTGGGCCAGGGAGGAGCCAGCAACTGAGGTACATGCCCTTGACCAGAATGAAACCCAGGACCCTCAGTCCGCAGGCTGACGCTCTATCCACTGAGCCCAACTGGCTAGGGCTGTTTTTTTGTTTAAACATCTTTCCTCAGCATTTAGCCTGGCCCAGGCAGTTGGTAGGCACTCAATAATAAATACAGAGCACCTTAGAAATCTTTGCAACAGACCTTGCACTTTCATTGGATACATACCCATGGCTCTTTTTCATTCTATACTTTAGACCAGGCTGACTATTCCTCCTCTCCTCCCTGGTCCTGACTGCCTCACCCTAAGCCAGAGCTGTCCTCAGTTATAATGCAGATGATATCAGTGACTAGATTATCTGACTGCTTAGAAGGCCGATGGGATTATCTCTGTCTCTACACATCTTTGTTTCATGAACTCAGCAGAGCAATGGCTATCTGCCCATCTCCCTGCAGCCTAGTCCTCTGGCAGCTGAAATTTCTGGCAGGTATATGGAAAATACCTTCTCTTCCCTGAAGTGATGGTAGAGGGGGATGGAAAAAGGAAAGAGGAACAAAAGATCTAGAAGCCACAAGATACAAGGTAACATGATAAGGGTACAGACTATAGGATATGGATTCAGGCAACTCCAGTTCAAATCCCAGCTCTTTAATCGTGTAAACCTTCCTGCAGTTTAGTTTCCTCAGCTATAAAATGGGAATAATACTGTCCTACCTTACAAATAGTGAGAATTAAATTAGGACAACACAGCCTGGCCTGTGTGGCTCAGTGGTTGAGCATCTACCCATGAACCAAGAGGTCACTGGATCGATTCCCAGTCAGGGCACATGCCTGGGTTGCAGGCTAGATTCTCAGTAGGGAACATGCAGGAGGCAACCGATTAATGATTCTTTCTCATCACTGATGTCTCTCTCTAAAATTTAAAAAATTAGGATTAACACAAACAAAAATGCTTCCCATGATGCTAGCACAAAACCTTTATGCAAATTAGTTTTTGAGGATTAGAAAAAGATAATACTGGCGTGATACAGGGCTATGCCATATGACTACAGCAGTTATTACCCACCCGAAATAATATCCAGACAAATAGGTTTAAAAGTGCCAATTCAAAAGTGGCAGGTGTGGTGACATCTGCTGTGGGGGTGGGACTGCTGGCCTGGGTGAGATGGGATGATAAAGCCAAGGGCACTTTTTAGCGAATTTACTTACAGAGACGAAAACTACCACCAAAGCTGTGCTGATCCAGGGCAGAGGTTAGAGAAGAGGCAGAAAGGCCAGGAGCCAGACACAGCTTAAGGAAATGGTCTGGATCAGATAATGCCCAGATGGACTTATAAACCAAAGCGAAGGGGCTCTGAGGTCCTTACAGAGAATCTACACAAAATACTAGATTTTATTAGCAACCACAGATAGATCATTTTCCACAACATCATACATTTATTCTGCTTCACACAGGAGAACTAATTCTAATGAATTCTCAACAGTACATCTTAAATAACATGTTGCTGGAAAAATTAAGTTAAAATGCACTATGTAATAGTGCAGACATAAAGTGCAGCTGCCAATTTAATACATGAAACAATGCTGAATCAGTAGTGTTGGGAACTCATTTGGTTTTCTAGAAAGTGATACAATTTGCCCATCTTTGGTTAGTCCTGGAGTAGTATGCAGGCTGAATGACATAGAAACTAAACAGGCTAAAATATTGAGGACCAAACTGGGCTACTCTAGAGTCAGTTTTACAATGAAGTGTTCAACAGCAATCTGCCATATTTCCCACCCCCGCTGTAGTACTTATATGATCAGACCTCCTCCACCATCCAGCCTCCAAGACAAGGGAATCACAGCCCAGAAGTTGCTGCTGGTCACTGATGTGTTTTCCTATCCACACTTGATTCAGTGGCAAGGGCTCTCTTGAGAAGTATACTTCTAACACGTCTACTCCTCAGAACACTGTCAGCATGTCCTTGGGAGGTTGCCAGAGGACATGGAACCAGACAATGGTTGTCATTCTTTATAAACAGTCCTTTCCAAAACAAAACAAAAATACTGTCTGTGCTGTGTGAAGAGGACCGCCTTGTCCGGAACAGACTTCAGTTCTTAAAGGGATCATATTAAAATTAACTTGTGGTTAACTCCCTTAGAAATGCTATTCTCAGATTATTCCCATTCCTCGTTTAGAGGCAGCTATGGAATATACACAACCTCCCCTGAACCTTGGCTCCCAACTTAACCAATACGAATCTCAAGTCTAATTCTTTCAGGACTAACAACTCACTCATAATGCCACTCACTCATAAAGAGAATGGTTAGAGAAACTTGGGATTTTCTAAAATTTATACCTGGCACGAGGTATTGGTGCATTAACTATGTGCCATGACTAATTTCTTTTCCATAGGCTCAAACGTATGTACCACAGGTACACTGTGGTTACACACCAGGGAAGAACCTTTAAATAAAACTGACTTTGCAGTCATTTGGCTAGGGGAAACATCTTTAACCCTTCCTCTTACTCTCTGTTCCTATCTTAGAAGCCTAACCACCTAGCTTTACTGAAAAAGGTGCTGGGGTAGGGCTAGGGCACTATCATCAAAAGGCATCTTTGATGTTCTTGAGCTGGCGCACAGCCAGGTCGACAGGGAGGCTGAACTGGAGGCTGCTGAGGCGACTGAGCAGGGTGAGGGCGCTCTCAAAGCCTGTGTGTGCCATGTAGCTCCAGGGCTGGTAGTGGCGCTCGATGAGTGATGCCGACTTGCAGATAAGGTTCACCCAGGACACGAGACGCTGCTCATTCAGTGCCATGCACACCAAGGCCTTCAACTCTGAGTCTGCACTGCGCTTGAAAGGGTCATGCTCTGTCAGCACCAAATGGATGGCTGTCAGTAGACTCTGTTTGGGAGTCATAGCAGTGCCTCCCATAACAGGCAGGGCAAAGGACTGGGAGAGCTTCTGGGCTGGGGATTCCACGTAAGCACGGCCATTCTTAGCATGGTAGTACTTTACAAAGAGCTCCCAGGGATGCATGGCCTCGGGGGCCGAGGAGAAGGCCGGCAGCAAACAAGCAATGGGAGCCATGACGAGGCTCATCCCTGGTGAGGAGGCATACAGTCCATGGGCCAGCAGGTCCCTCATGGCCACTGTCAGCTCCTTTCGCACAGCTGTAGTCAGCTCGTCCTTGCCCCCCTGACAGAGGTCCTGGAGGTTGGCAGAGGTGATGACGTGGCCGTAAGGCTGTTGCCTTAAGGCTAGCTGCTTCACTCTGTCTACTGACACCTCCAGCCTCTTCAGTAAGGGAGAGTAGTCCCTGTCAGCCTGGCCTGTTGGCCACAGGGTTTGTGGAATGTGGCCTGTGGCACAACCAAACTGGCTAACAGCAAAGATCTGGAGCACTGCCAGTGCTCGCCGCATCAGGTGCAGGCCCGTCTCCCGGACTTTCTTCACATCTTCTGCCTTTGCTGTTTAGAAAACACAATATTCATCAGTTAGGGCCATAAGAGCACAGAAGTACATTCAATAAGTCACAAGTTGAGATAAAGTATTGCTTTGGAGCTATATATAGGTCCCACATGAAGCCAAGAGCTACCCAAGGATGTCACTGGGCTTCCCTTTCTTTGGGTTAGTAACAGCTATATTGAAATATAATTCACATACCATACAATTCATCTATTTAAAGGATACAATTCAGTGGTTTTTTAGTATATGCAGAGATCTGTGTCTCCATCATCCCCAAAATACACCTTGTACCATTAGCATTTCCCATTACCCTTCTTCCCAACCTCCCGAGCCCTTAGCAACTACTGATCTATTTTCTGTCTCTATAGGTTTGGCTAATCTGGGAGCTGTACTTACGTTTGCTGTTTCTTGGAGGCAGTTTGCTGCTCCCAGTTCTGGTGGAGCCATTCCCTGTCTTCCCACTGGCCTTGCACTCACAGTGTCCATTATCTGTCTGCAATGGGTTTCCCACTTCATCTATAATCAGAAGTTAAAAAGAGAAGATACTTCTTTAGTCGCTTGATGGCAGATTTTCAAAGGAAGAATATTTACTAGTGCCTACTACATGACAAGACTTACAAATATATCTCATTTAATTGTATAAAACAGTGACTGGTCTGTAGTAGTTGGCTCAAAAAATATTTGCTGAGTGAAGAAAGCATGAATCGTTTTATGGGTGAGGAGAGTGGGACTAGAGAGGTTAGGAACCTGCTCAAGGACATGAAGCCAGTAAATGGCAGAGTGAGATTTTAGCTATCTGGTTACTCACCATGCTAGCTCCCTTACTCAGTGAACAAACGCCTTAAAGAGTACATCAAGACTGGCCCCTTTAGGTAACAGTATTTACAATGTATAAATTATCACATCTGTCCACCCCCCTCTGACCTTGGATGAAGTTGATAAACATCTCGAGATCTCGGATCTGAGTTTTCAGCTGCTCAACCAACTGTTCTTTCACTCGGGCTGGATTTACAATTTGAGCCACAGCTGCATCGACACGCTGCCGAAGCTCTTCAGTAGACAGTGAACTGATGTCCTCATTCAGATTCATGTCCAGTTTCTTTATTAATTCATCTATGATCACCTATCAAGACCACAAGCAATGAGCACACCCTTTGGAATTTTCAGGGAGAAGGTTAGGAAGAAAGAAAATCTTTACTGGTATACCTCCTACCCTTAAATAGAAATCCAAGTCACAAAGAACTATCAAATTCATGAGAGAAATGATGTAATTGCTTATTAGGTAAGGATAGACCTTTTTTCTCTGGGAGTAACAAGAACCTTTGGTTCCTGTCCAACAGAAATGGTTCTTCTAACTACAAATGATTTACTGGACTAGGCAACTTTGACTCAGGTGACTAACAGCATGAATAATCCAAAGTGGCTGATGATCCAAAAAGCCTCATACTTAGCTTCCCCCAAGGTCTCCAAGAGAATAAATACTGGTTTCTCTTAGTTTCTAGTCCTTCTCATCCCTTCTTATTCTACTCTAAGTAACTAAAGAAAAGTCTTTACAAAACATTAAGATATATTACAGCCAAAATATTCTACTAACAATATTAGGAACAATGAAATCTTGGTAATGCAACTCCAGCCCAGGCAGAGAAATAGCCATGTCAAAAGGAGAGACAAACATGTAGGGGAGGCTGTAGCTGTATTTCTACTAGCTGATTTACCTGTCTACCCAGAAGTTGTTTAAATAAATACAGCATTAAAGTCAGTCTGGATTCCTGGTATATTTATCAACTGATTGTGGGGGGGGAAAGCTAGTTTACATAGTATGATGTGCCCACATAGAACTATTTTAATGATCAAACGAAAGAATTACTGCCCTAACCGGTTTGGCTCAGTGGATAGAGCGTCGGCCTGCGGACTGAGGGGTCCCGGGCTCGATTCCGGTCAAGGGCATGTACCTTGGTTGCAGGCACATCCCCAGGAGGAGGTGTGCAGGAGGCAGCTGACAGATGTTTCTCTCTCATCGATGTTTCTAACTCTCTATCCCTCTCCCTTCCTCTCTGTAAAAAATCAATAAAATATATTAAAAAAAGAAAGTATTACTGTTATTACTACTACTATTATTAATAATAACAAAAAGGTAGAGCTCCATTATCATATTATAAAACTTTGGAACTGGTGTTTCCATGTGTGAATAAAGACTGTAATAGTAAAATTTCCCTTTGATTTAGGCCAGCAAAGGGATTCTCACTAAGGCCCAGGACAAGCAGGCTAGGAGAGAATGAATGCTGGAAAGAATGAACACTGGAAGGAACTGTTTAGGTAGTGGTGGCCTCTACTTACCCGCTGTCTTTCCAGGACCACAGACTGTGGTAGGGAATCATAATTGCCCTCTTGATAGGCAAATGTTTCCAGATCATCTAGTTGGGTTTTGAGCTGCAGTATCAGTTCCTTCTGCTTCTCCCTTTGGGTTTCCAGACGTTCTCGTTTCTCCTGCTCACTCTAAGATGAGAAAATACTTAGGTTTATTTCATAGGAAAAGGAAAATTCAGGGCACATCAAGAATCCTCTCAAGCCAATAATGACTAGCAAAATATAAGACATTTCCAAATAATCCAGATGAAATACAGAATTTGTAAGATAGGCTCAAAAATAAGAATAATTATTTCATACAGGGAAATTTATTAAATGTGTTTTTGTTAGGAAAATATCTGTCTCTCATTGGAAATAGGATAAGAATACAATGGGGCCTTTTGTTAAGATTGCTTTTTAAAAAAATATGTATTTTATTGATTTTTTTACAGAGAGGAAGGGATAAACATAGAGAGAGAAACATCTATCAGCTGCCTCTTGCACACCCCCTACTGGGGATGTGCCCACAACCAAGGTACATGCCCTTGACTGGAATCAAACCCAGGACCCTTTAGTCCGCAGGCCGACGCTCTATCCACTGAGCCAAACCGCCTAGGGCAAGACTGCTTCCCCCCCGCCCCCCTAAAGGTCTAGTTAGGAGTGAGATAACTTATCTCAGCCAAGACAGCCTCCCAGGAATTAGCCATGCCATCTTCATTGCTAATTACCATAGAACAACTCCTGACTATTTTCTGCAGAGAATCTGGAGGTAAGGGTGTAGAGAAAGGCTTTATAACTCATAACCATTTTTTTTTTTTAAGATTCAAAGTCCATTCAATGTTTTACAGACATCTACAAAATCAAAAGAATAAATGTAGATACCTGATACCTGGGGCAATAAAAAATCCAAAGCCAAGTAATGGGGGTGGAAAGGTAATAGTGGTTTTTTTTTGTTTTTTTTTTAAATGTCTGGTAAGTTTCCCTGAGCAGTGATTCCCTTTCCCACTGTTGGCCACCAGGTACTTTCCACATTTAAATGATTATAATCCCTTCAGGATGGCAAAGTCTTGCCAATGTATACTCAAACACTGGTTTTTCCATGCCTTTCTTGAGTATCAAAACAAAGCAAACTCAGCACATTATGCAGGCATAAGGCTGCATTTCAAACTAGAAGTCTATAGGATATTAAATTTAACCTTAAAATGGTACTTACCAAGCCCTCCAGAAGTAAGGTATGAGAGAGGACAAATGAAAAACAAGTTAACTTTTTGTTCAAATTATTTAAAAAGCAATGCTCTTGCTTTACCTTTATTCAACATGAAATCAACGCCCTAGCCGGTTTGGGTCAGTGGATAGAACGTCGGCCTGCGGACTGAAGGGTCCCAGGTTCGATTCCGGCCAAGGGCACATGCTTACGTTGCGGGCTCGATCCCCAGTCGGGGGCATGCAGGAGGCAGCCAATCAATGATTCTCTCTCATCATTGATGTTTCTATCTCTCTCTCCCTCTTCCTTCCTCTCTGAAATCAATAAAGAAATATATTTAAAAAAAAGAAAGAAAGAAAGCAAGCTTTTTCTTAGGATACTCCCTCTGCAATCCTTTCTGAGTGGGGTAGTGTTTTCTTAGAATCCTTTTTCTCTTCCTGTCTTAGTGCAGGCCTAGCTGTCCATTAAAAGAAGGTTTCCTTGATTTTCCCAGGCAGAACTGATCATTCCTTCTACTGTATTTTGTACACACTTCTACTCTAGCTCATGTCACATTATAATTATTTGTTTAGGATTCTGTCTCCCCCAGTCTATGAGCTTCTTACAGGCAAGGGCCGTGGCTTTGTACCCTCAAGGCCTAGCACAGGGTAAACTCTCAATACACATTTGTTTTATATTATTGAATCACATACAGAATGGCATATTCAAAACACAATAGTCCCCTCCTATCTGCAGTTTTGCCTTTTGTGATTTCAGTTACCTGCAGTTAACCAAGGTCCAAAAGTATTAAATAGAAAATTCCAGAAATAAGCAATTCAAAATTTAAACTGTGTACTCTTCTGAGTAGCATTAGGAAATCCTGAGTCTGAATCTTCCCCTTGTCCAGAGTATCTCGGTATCCATGCTGTATCCACCACCCACCCATTAGTCACTTAGTAAACGTTTTGGTTATTTGGACTGTTGCGGTATTACAGTACTTGCTTGTATTCAGGTAATCCTTACTTTACTTACTACAGGCCCAAAGTCATTCACAAAACTGTTATTACAGTATATTGTCATAATTGTTCTATTTCATTAGTAGTTATTGTTGTTAATCTCTTATTGTGCTTAATTGATAAATTAAACCTTATCATAGGTATGTTTATATAGGAAAAAACATAATATGTATGTTCAGTACTATCCGAGGTATCAGGCATCCACTTGGGGTCTTCAAACATATTTCCCCTGGATAAGCAGGGACTACTGTAATGAACTCTGACCAGAAGTCTAACCAGCTCAAGGAGCACGACTGGGTAAACTGTGTTTTCACTGTACCCCAACTTTATGAAAACAAGGAAGAAAGAAACCAGCTATAAATCCTGACTCTGTTTTCGTGAGAATGTTGAACTTTGCCATAATAGTTCTAGTACGTTATTTACTGGAATGTAAGCAAACAAGTTTAATAGAACAATGAGCTCTGGTGCAAGGCAGGAAATAAATAATTTCCAGTGTGAAGTGAGATAAAATACTGGTTTAAAAAAACCAGGAACTGATAAGAAGTAAATCATTTGGTTCACACACATCCCCCATTACCTGTTCTTGTATCAATGTATGCACACACGATCACAGCTGCTTATTAGGTATTTCTGAACACTACATTTTTTTTTCAAAGTTGTTCTCTGTTTCTGAAAGTGAAAATGAACAACCAAAAGAGCAAATCCACAGAGAACCTTTGGTGCTCCTCACACCTGAACAGGGCCTGCCCACAGTAATTCGTTCTATCCTTTCTATTCCTTAAGAGTCTGGCAATTGGACATGGCTGCTCCTTGTTTGTGCAAGGAGCTGTGGGTATTTGGAGAGAAGGGTGGAACAGTAAACACAGGATTGCATTGGAAACATTTCAGGTGAAAGTAATTCAATATCTGTTACTGATAAGTCTTCTTGGTTAAAACCAATTTAAGTGGGAAGAAAGCACATGTCGGTTGTAGCTTTAAGAATAAAAAGGTGAGCCCTAACCGGTTTGGCTCAGTGGATAGAAGGGTCCCGGGTTTGATTCCGGTCAAGGGCATGTACCTTGGTTGCGGTTTCTCTCGCATCGATATTTCTAACTCTCTATCTCTCTCCCTTCCTCTCTGTAAAAAAATCGATAAAATATATTTTTTAAAAAAAGAATAAAAAGTGGTAGCCCTAGCTGGTTTGGCTCAGTGGGTACAGCATTGGCATGCAGATTGAAGGGTCCGGGTTCCATTCCAGCCTAGGGCACCTGCCCGTGTGGTGGCCTCGATCCCCAGTAGGGGGCGTGCAGGAGGCAGCCATTCAATGATTCTCTCATCATTGATGTTTCTATCGCTCTCTCCCTTCCTCTCTGAAATCAATAAAAAATACATATATTTTAAAATGTGGAGAAAAGACAGTGAGTCTCCTCAACACCTATCTACAAGTGCGCATTTCCAGGGATCCAAAGGCTGTAAGGGAACGTTGCCTTAGTGCCGTATACAGACTCTCCCAACTTCTCGAGGTAGGCTAACTGCCCGAATCTTGTCAGTTACCAATGGAACCTCATTTCGAATATCTAGTTATCAAGCAGGATGGGGAAGGAGGTTTAAAATACCAGCATTAGAAAATTCATGTAATCAGGCGTTGTGTTCTTTTTAATGACTAAGATACCCTGTTGTTCACCAAAGCGCTCACTCAGACAAGAGTCTAAAGATGAAAGAGTCTCTAGGTTCCAGGAAAACACGGGCAGAGAGTGTAGATCTAATTTTCCACGATTTCCAATCCACTCGCTCTTCACCGGCCAATCTCCCCAATCCCCAGGGTCGGGGCACTCCATCAGCAAAGGTGCCAGGTGTTTGCTAAGGTGACTGCAAGGTGAGCGGAAGCAGCGCTGCTTTGGTTGGTTGCTCGGCTGCCCTCTCAATCCTCTCTTCGCCCTTCACGTCATCACACCTTCGGGGACACCTCTCACCACAGGTCCCCAGGCCGTTTTGTCCTCCTGTCCACACGCCTGTCTCAAGCTTCCTGTCTCGGACGCGCGTGCTCACCTAGACAGGTCGGCTGCTCACCACCGCTACCTCCATCCTGTCGGCATCGCCACCCACCCACCCGCTCCTATGCCCATACCCCTCGGGGCCCGGCCCCCGCTGCTCACCTGGTCCTCGCCCCGCAACCGTGGCCGGTCCCCCGGCAGCCCGTCGCTCTCGTCGCAGGCGGGGTCCCCGGGCTCCCCGTAACCCAGGACGTGAGGGCAGCCGCGGAAGGCGAAGTCCTCGAGCTCGCGCAGGAGGCGCTGCTGCTCGGCCGGCGCCCCGCGCACCACCTGGCGCAGGCGGAACTGCACCTGCGCGAAGTGCGAGGACAGCGCGAGCAGCGCCGAGTCCAGCCGCCGCCGCTCGGCCCGCAGCCGCCGCAGTGTCCGGCCCGGAGAGTCGGGCGGGGAGCCCGGGGCCGCGCCGGGGTCCTCGGCAGCCGCCTCTTCCGAGAACGCGGTCGCCCCAGGCCCGGCCTCGGCCACCGCCCCTACCGGGGCCCAGCGCACCGCCTCGCACGGCGGCAGGGACTCCTCTTCTTCCTCCTCTTCGTCCTTCGCCTTTGGTCCCACGGCCGCCACCACCGTTACCGGCTCTGCAGCTACTTCCACAGCCGCCATCTTCCCGGAAAAGCCGCCGCACGTCAACGGCGCTCCCTTGTTGCCATGGCTACGACGCACGGGCTGGGAAACGCGGGGGGTACGCGGAGGGGCGGGCTGGAGGGCGGGGCTTAGACGTCACGGAGTTAGTCGCGGAGGGCGGGCCTTCCCCGGGGATTCCGTTCGGACCAATAACTTTTTTTTTATTTGAGCGCCTTTTGTGAATCTGGTGCTGAATGTACTAAGCGTCGGAGAAGCAGGTGCATGGAGCCGCGGACGAGTCACTCCGTGTGTGTATCTAGTGTCGTGTTGCCCTTGCCCTGGTCCCGGAGGGTGGGTCGTCTCTGCCTAAACGTGTGCTTTTCTGGAGGTGTGCAGGGCTGCAGAGGCTGCAGGGGCCAGGCTTTCCCACCGTCCCCGGAGTGCAGCTCCCTGGTAAGGTCGCGTCTCTCCTGCCTCTGCAACCTTCCGCCGACCATATAAGGAGAGGCAGCTGCCGGGGCGTCACTCACCAGGATCTAAAGATAGTGACCCCGGACTCGACTCCCAACGCCACTGGGCTGCGGGGGCCGCCATGGCACGGTGAGTGTTTCCGGCCACTCTTTCCCCTTTAGATTTCTTGTCCCACCTGTTCTGGGCGCTCCAGGTTCTGCGAGGTCCCATGGGAACCCCGGGCCCCAGGTCTCTGTAACTTCGGGGTGGTGAGGGCCAGTGCCATCTCCATGGCCTCCATAACTCCTTACCTTTCACTCTCACACTTTTGATTCTCCCCAGATTCACCCTCGCCACTCACACCCATTTCCATCACTCCCATCCCACCTCCTCCTGTCTCTTGTAGCTCCATGTTGACAGGGCGGTAGCATAAAATATCCCTGTATTTCCCCCTTCTCCCATCTTTCCCAAATGCTCCCAGTCTTCCTTCTCCCACCCCTGTGAAGCCCCACCTCAACTCCTCTTCAGGCAGCATGCCCGGACCCTGTGGTATGACAGGCCCAGGTACGTGTTCATGGAGTTTTGTGTTGAGGACAGCACCGATGTCCACGTGCTCTTAGAAGACCACCGCATTGTGTTCAGGTAATGGCCTCCCATTGGTTGAGTCTGGCTTCCTGGGAACCTTTCCCTTCTCTTAATTCCTCCACACTCAGCCTCCCACATCTCTTCATCTGCACTGTCTCCTCAGCTGCAAGAATTCGGATGGAGTGGAGTTGTACAATGAGATTGAGTTCTACGCCAAGGTGAACTCCAAGGTAAGGATGGGGTGGGGCGGTCAGGTTTGGGTGGGAAGGCTGCCTGGGGAATGGGAGATTCATTCTCTTAAGATTCTTAAGCATGAGGCTCTCTATGCGGCAGGACTCCCAGGATAAGCGCTCTGGCCGCTCCATTACTTGCTTTGTGAGGAAATGGAAGGAGAAAGTGGCCTGGCCTCGGCTCACCAAGGAGGATATCAAGGTAGGGAGTGGCCTGCTCTTTCTCCTGTGCTCTCTGTCTATGTACCAGAGCAGGTACTCAGATTAGCTCTGGGAATCACCCTTGCCTCCTTCCCCACCAACAACAGCCAGTCACTCACCAGATCCTGCCTATTTGACTACTTGGATAAGATTGAATCCATTATTTCATACCTACCTAATTCAGGCTTCATCCATCACTGGGTGAGGTTTGTTGTGTATTTTCAGCCCCACGCCCAATCTGTCTAAAGCATCCCTCCCATTATGATCTGTCTGAAACATATATTTGAGCCCTGGTGAGTGTGAATGTTGTCCTATGCACCAAAAGGTGGCAGGTTCGATTTCCTGTCAGGGCACATGCCCAGGTTTTGGGCTTGATCCCCCATAGGGGGCATGCAGGAGGCAACCAATCAATGTTTCTTCCTCTCTCTCTCTCTTTCTCCCTCCCCCTCTCCCTCGAATCAATAAAGACATATTAAAAAATAAATAAAACACATTTGACCTTGTCACTCCCCTACTTAAGACCCTCCAGTGGCTTCTTTCTCCTAAAGGTTGCAGTTTGGCCACTTGCTGGTCGGATCTGGCTCTCAAATTTATTTGAGCAGTCTTCACAGTGTTAAAAATTATTTCCATTGCCTACCGATATTTAGAAGTTTTGATTAGTTGCTGACATATAAAAATTTGGAGAATTTGCCAAACCGGTTTGGCTGAGTGGATAGAGCATTGGCCTGCGGACTGGAGGCTCCTGGGTTCGATTCTGGTCAAGGGTGATTCTGGTCAAGGGCGTGTGCCTTGGTTGCAGGCACATCCCCAGTGGGGGGTGTGCAGGAGGCGGCTGGTCGATGTTTCTCTCTCATCGATGTTTCTGGCTCTGTCCCTCTCCCTTCCTCTCTGTGGAAAATCAATAAAATATATTTTAAAAAAAATTTGGAGAATTCACCTACAAATCCAGATTATTAGCTTCTCTCAAAAAATGGTGATTTTGGCCGCATTGGTCTAAAATTCCCAACTGCCTAGAGTTGGAGCTTTTTTCCCCCTTTTTAATTTTTTTTATTGACTTTAGAGAGAGGAAGGGAGAGGGAGAGAAAGATAGAAACATCAATGATGAGAGAGATCATTGATTGGCTGCCCCCTACTGGGGACTGAGCCTGCAACCCAGGCATGTGCCCTGACCAGAGATGGAACCATGACCTCCTGGTTCATAGGTTGATGCTCAACCACTGAGCCACACCAGCTGGGCCTCACTTGCTTCTTGATGGCTGGGACTATGTATTAAATATTTCTATAATCCCAGTGCCATTCTCAGAGTCTGACCCATAGTATCTGTTCAATAAATATCTGCTAAATGAATTAGTAAATAACTTTTTTCTCTAAGTGTGGGAACTTGGGACATGGACCTTGAAGGGTTGTCCCTGTCTTTCTTGGTTGGTTCTATGATACTTTATGACACAGTCATATTTCCAGATGTGTGATCTTCCCAGTCAATTTGCTCTTGGAGGGCAGAATTTCTATGCTTTTCCATACCCTAAACATTGTGTTTAATGGGCTCTTGGTAAGTCTTTATGGATGACGTGGCAGCTTGGAGACGGGGTTAGTTAAAGGGGGCTGTTGGGAAGACTGCTCCCATTGACCTTCCCCAAGCATGCTCCCATGCACACAACACTTTTCTATGCACTTCTGCTGCCCTCTTGGCCTGTGACTCTCCGTGCTTCCTCTTTCAGCCAGTGTGGTTGTCTGTGGACTTTGATAACTGGAGAGACTGGGAAGGGGATGAAGAGGTGGAGCTGGCTCAGGTGGAACATTACGCAGAGGTAATGTCATTTTCTGCTCATCTTGATCATTCTCTGAGTCTCTGTCTGGAGAATTGTCATCAGGGCTAAGCAGAGATATATGAGCTCCTTAGGCCGGCCGCTGATTGGTGCTGATATTCTTTATGTATTTTGTGCAGTGTTTAATAGGGATGGGAAAAATGAATATCCTATTCATAGAGTAGAGCCTGTGCTCTGAAGAAGTTTGGTAGAACCTTTTCCTACTTTTCTGTAAGTTTTGTTCGTGTGTGTGTGTGTGTGTTTTCTTGAACTAGATAACCTCATGGGAAGCTCAAACTAAGCAGTATAAAATTCAAATTTAAAAAAATCACTATTTTTACCCTGGTGAGTGTTTCTAAATGGTCAGAGCATTGGCCCAAGCACGAAGGGTCGAAGGTCTGATTCCTGGGTTGCAGGTTGGGGCGATTGTGGTTGGGGCGAGTGCATGCGGGGGCAACCAGTCGATTTCTCCCTCCCTTCCTCCTCCTTTCTCTGAAAAGTGATGGAAAAAATATGCTCCGGTGAGGATTAGAAAAAAAAAATCACTATTTCCCAATAAATTATTTGGTTTCAGAATTTCAGTACTAGTTATTCAAGTTGCAAAAACACTAGCAGACCCTGACCTGGATTAGTAAGGAGAGTGCTCTGTGTGTTTTTAAATTTCTTACTAAAAAGGGGATCAGTGTACTTTTCTCTAATTCATTCCACTGATGTGTTAAGGGCTTTAAACATAGGGCAGTTGTCTGGCTGGACCATTCTCCTATGGCCCATTAGTATGCAGGTTGCTCTTCTCTCTTGTGACTCTTTCTTTTCCCTCCAGCTTTTGCAGAAGGTCAGCACCAAGAGACCTCCCCCTGCCATGGACGATCTAGATGTAAGTAAAGCCTGCCCCTCAACCCTTCAGTTTCCGTTTTGCTCTTAAAAATAAGATACAATACTAGAAAGCTCCTGTCTCAGTCCCTAGCACATAGCAGTTCTCAGTGCATGTTAGCCAAATTTGATTATTTTTTTTTTAGCCAAATTTGAATTTGACAAAGAAGAGTGAATGTTCTTCTCCAGGCTTAAGAAAACCCCAGTAAGTGCTCTCCTTCTTGGGAGCACACCCGCACCTTTCTCATCCCCTTCTTCTCCCAGGCATGTTACCTTACCTTTCTCTCTTTCTCCTAAGCTTCAAGGGCCCTTCTTGGCCTCTGTAACTTTTTCCTTAAACCTATTTCTTCTATGGCTCACTTCTACCTCTGTGGCTTTCTAAATAAACTTTTGCTTATAAGAAAACACAAAAACAAAAAACACCAAACCCAGCAAGACCCTCTTTACTTCCATCTCTCCCTCTGCTTCTCCATCCTAGAGCAGTTCTGGCCCTGTTGACTATCTTTACAGTTGTAAGGAGCAGTAGCATTAATTGAAATTCTGAAACTAAATGATACATGACACCGTGCTGTTTATTCAGTACTGGTGGTTTATTTTCCAAAGTTTAAATCCTTCCATATTAGCCTCCCAAGAAGTTGTGTGACTCAGAAAAATCACAAAAGAAAACTTGGAGAGCAGAAGGGAGTGAGCAGTGTTTGTGAACACAAATGTTCACTCTTTCCATATTCTACAGGTAACTTTTGTCTTTTTCTTTTTTTCTAGGATGATTCTGACAGTGCCGATGCGACAAGTAGTTAACTTCTGCATGGTAGACCTGTGGAGGAAGCTGTGGCTGTCTTCTAGTCCTTCTGACAAGCTAGGGCCTAGACCTTTGTCTAGCTGTTTGGCTGAGCACCAAGGTCCTCTGGGATCTCAGATCTTTCCTCGAAGCTCTTAATTAAGTGTCCTCCTTCATGCTTTATTTCTTTTCCCTATGCATTTGACTATGGCTGCTACATCAGATGGCAGAATAGCAGAGGAATAGACTGGTGGGACTGCTGACTTCCTGCCAACTAGCTATAATCTCTATGTTTGGACTGCTCGTCAGGGCTCTCGAGTATGTGTGTATGTGGTAGAGCAAAATCCAAAGAAGTAGCATATAGATTATAATAAATCTCTAGGAATTGGTCGATCTCTTTCCTGCTTGTACTTTTTCCTCCTGGAGCCAAACCTCTTCTCTCTCTATAGTTACTCTCTAGGGGAGGGGTGGGTGTCAAAGATCCTGGCCCTCATCGCTGAGGTTGAAAGAAGAAAGCTTTTGGGAGCAGGTTGTAACCAAGCTGAGGGACTTGCCCATGCACAGATCTATGCTCTGATTCCTCAGAGCAGAAACCAGCCTTTCACCATATGGGTAATACTGCCACTCCTAGAATCAGCCAGAAACCCACCTCAGCTTTCTGCACACTCCAGAAATCTCTTTATACTTTTAAAGCTGACATTAGTTCTTAAACTAAAAAAACCCCAGAAACAGTTGCCAATACAAAGTTATATTTGTATTATGTTTTACAATTTACTATTATCTCATTAAATAATTATATATTTTCTTCATAGGTCATCAATCAGGTAACAATAAGTGGCAAAGTTGTGACTTGAATTTGTATAGCATGTCCCCTTATCCACAGTTCTGAAAACCAACAACAACAAAAAAAATTGACACCAAAACTCATTTGACAACAAAACATGACCTAAACTGTTGTGAGGCTATTTATAGTGTTTATTCCATTTAGTATATTTATTTCTCAGCATAAATATTAATGAGTTTGATTACATGATGTTGCTCTTGAGTTACAAATGGAATGCGTTAGGTAACAACACATAGAGTGTGCTCTCCATTACTGCCTAAAATCTGAGACATCCTAAATTCTGAAACATCAGGAGTCTTCAGGTTTTTTATTAGCTGATTTGAAAGAGCAGAAAGAAAGTTTATTTTTAAGCGGTTAAAGTTTTAAGGCACTGTCCAGCACGAGTCACATGTACTTGAAATATGGCTGCTCCGAACTGAGATGGGAGTGTAAAATACACACCAGGTTTTGAAACTTTTATACGGGGAAAACTCACTTACTTTTATATACCTATTACATGATGAAAGAATGGATATGTTGATTTTTTTTTTTAAATATTTTTATTAATTTCAGAGAGGAAGGAAGAGGGAGAGATAGAAACATCAATGATGAGAGGGAATCATTGATTGGCTGCCTCCTGCACGCCCCCCACTGGGGATCGAGCCCACAACCCAGGCATGTGCCCTTGACCAGAATCGAACCCGGGACCCTTCAGTCCGCAGGCCGACGCTCTATCCACCAAGCCAAACCGGCTAGGGCGGATATGTTGATTTAAATAAAATATTAACAAATGCGGCTTGCATTATTTCTATTGGGCACGCTGTCGTGCCCCAAGCCCGCACCATCCCCACCTCTGCACATCCTGGGAGCCCAACCGGCTACACTGAGTGCCTCGACAAGTTCGGGTCACAGTTTTGTCCTCTGGTCCTTTACAAAGTCAAAGCAGTTGCTAACCAACCCAGAACATCTGCAAATCGCGATTTCAACAAATTTGTCCCAACCACATCCCATTCCGTGCTTTCTCGCTTCTGCGCAGAGACGCGTCCGCACTGAGGATTGTCCCGCGCGGGCCTCCGTCCGCCCCAGGCGCTGCAGCGCGCGGATCCCGCATCCCGGGACGGCGGCGGCGATGGCGTTCCGGTGTCAGCGGGACAGCTACGCCCGGGAGGTGCGGTGCGGCCGCTGGGCGAGGGCCCCGATGCTGCCGAGCGGAGGGGGCGCTGCGGGAGGAGGGCGCGGTGTGGAGGGAGAGCCGAGCTAGATTCAGTTTATTCGTTCGTCCCTCTGTTCAGTTCACCACCACCGTGGTCTCCTGCCGTCCCGCGGAGCTGCAGACCGAAGGAAGCAAAGGCAACAAGGACGTGCTGAGCGGTTTCCAGGTGGTGCTGGAAGACACGCTGCTTTTCCCCGAGGGCGGGGGACAGGTACCCGAAGCCCCTCGTTCCTTTCTGCCGGGGTCTCTGTGTCCAGGAGTGAGGGCGAGCCCTGACTCCCTCTGCTGCCGATCGGCATTTCTTTCCCCAGCCTGATGACCATGGCACAATCAATGGCATCTCTGTGCTGAGAGTGACCCGCCGGGGGGCCGAGGCTGACCATTTCACACAGACACCCTTGGCCCCTGGGACTGAGGTCCACGTCCAGGTGGACTGGGAGCGGAGGTTTGACCACATGCAGCAGCATTCAGGTAGGTGGGGGCGGGATCGGGGACCTATGGGGGCGGGCAGTTGCTCTGTATGGGATACGGTTTGGGTTCTCTAGGAGTTAGCCTTTTGGAAAAGTCACACGTGTGCAGAATCAGCTCCGATTGAGGCAGGTTAAGGTAGATGTTATAAAAGCAATATGAGCAATTAAAAGTATTAGAACATGGTCCTGGCCGGGAGGTCCAATTGGTAGAGCATTGCCCCAACACACCAAGGTTGTAGGTTCAATTCCTGGCCAGGGCACATACTAGAAACAGCTAATGAATGCATACATAAGTGGAACAACGAATCGATGTTTCTTTTTTCTTTCTCTCTCTCTATCTTTCTCCCTTCCTCTTTCTCAATCAACCAATAAAAATTAAAAGTATTAGAGTAACTGCTGGATTTGAGCATTACCAACTTCCTGTATTGGTATCTTTATCTGGATGTGTCATAAACTTCTTAAATTCAGAACATCCAGAATGGTATTTAAAATTCATCCATTAAAAAAAAAAAGAAGAAGACAAAAACAAACAAACAAAAAACAACAACGAATAAAAGTCACTCATTCCAGCCTTGGCTGGTGTGGCTCAGTTGGTTGAATGTTGTCCAGTGCAATGAAAGGTCACGGGTTAGATTCCCAGTCAGGGTACATGTCCAGGTTGTGCGGGAGGCAACCAATTGATGTCTCTCTCTCTCTCTCTCTCTCTCTCTCTCTCTCTCTCTCTCTCTCTCCCCTCCTTACCTCTCTCTCTAAAATCAATAAAAACAGTTTTTTTTTTTAAAGTCACCCATTTCCCCAGACTTGGTCTTCCATTAGTGTTCTCTATATTCAGTGCATGGCATCAGCAGCCACCTAGTTTTCCAAAATCTTGGAAGTTAGTACAGACACTCTTTGGGGATAGCCAGTCAATCACGAAGTCCTGTCGGTTTATCTTCTAAATGCTTCTCTATTTCCTCCCACTGTCAGTGTGATCATCTTAGGCCCAGCTCTCCTTGTCTTTCCCCAGATCTCTGTAATAGCCTCCTGGCTAGTCTCTCCACATAAAGTCTTGCTTCTTGCAGCCTATTCTTCGAAGAGCAGCCAGAATAATCTTGTAAAAATTAAGATCGGATCATGTCACTCTCCTGCTTAACGCTCTTCAAAAGCTTCCTGTTGCTCACGATAGAGCTGTACTTACCATGGCCCCCAAGCCCTACCTGGGCTGGTGCTTACCTGCTGCTCCAGCCTCAGCTGGCCTCCCTCCCTCCTGCTCCCAGCATTCTGGCTGTGCTGGACTTCCTCTCGATTCCTTGAACACATCCTGCTTCTTTCCTCCTTCAAGGCCTTTGGTCTATTCCCATTGCCTTCACAGTTAATTCCTTCTATTACTCCTCTCCTCCTGTCATCAGTCAGAGATAATGCTGTATCTCTAACATCAAGCCCTGTGCCTTGCATGTGGTAGGTACTTGATAAATATTTGTTGAGTGAATATGCCACAGTAGAGCTTCAGTTCAAATCCTGCCTCTGATAAGCTACGTTGCTTTGGCAAGTTACTTGACATTTCCAGGCCTCAGTTTCCTTATTTGTGAAATGGCATCGTAAAGCCTCTTGCAGAATTCTTGTGAGGATATTCAATGAAGTATCTCAATGTTACCCAGTGCCCAACAGGTCTTCAACAAGGAAACTTTCTATGATGATGTGGGAGTATGTGGCTGTCTGGGCTTCTCATTCTTCTATCTCTCATTCTCTCTTATCAGGGCAGCATCTCATCACAGCAGTTGCTGATCATCTGTTTGGGCTGAAGACAACGTCATGGTGAGGAGGAGGCATAAGACTAACTGCAGAGCATGACTCCTGACTCCCAGCTCCTTTCTCAGTATTGTGTCAGGGGGTAGGAGGCTAAAAGAAAGAGCAGTGTTCAAAACCTGCTGTGTTCTCCTGGTCCCCTTGAGGGTGGGGGGTGGATGACCTTGTGTTTCTTAGGGAAAACAATAGGGTGAGCGGAGAGATATCTGCCTTTGCTTAGGAAAGAACATAGAATTTTGAGCCTAAAGACCTACGCAGTGTGGATCTATGTGACCTTGATCACATTCGTTACTACCCCTCAGCTGTAAGATGGAAATGACAATCCCTACCTTGCAGGATTTTTGTGAGGATTAAATAGATAATTTATGTGGACATTCTTTGTAAACTGTAAACTTTCTTATGTTGTTACTGTTGTCATTATCAGCATCGTGTGGCTCCTCTACTTCTTCTGACAGGGAGTTAGGGCGACTCCGGAGTGTGATTGAGCTGGATAGCCCCTCCGTGACTGTAGAGCAAGTAGCTGCCATTGAGCAGAGCGTCAATGAAAAAATCAGAGACCGGCTGCCTGTGAATGTGCGAGAACTGAGCCTAGATGATCCTGAGGTGGAGCAGGTGAGGGGTGGCTTCTGTAGAATGGCCCTCTGGGGGCTCCTCATCAAAATTCAGACAGCCCTTCTCCCTCCTCTGTGTTCCAGGTGAGGGGCCGGGGTTTGCCAGATGACCATGCTGGGCCCATTCGAGTTGTTACCATCAAGAATGTTGATTCCAACATGTGCTGTGGGACCCATGTGAGCAATCTTAGTGACCTTCAGGTAGGTGAGGAGGGGCTTCTGAATGGTTAGGAAAGAGGGTGTCAGGAGTGTGGGATCACAACAGGGTTGGGAGTGGTAGAGGGGGACAACTGGGGAGTCCTGAGCAAAGTCACTCTTTTATTGTTTCCAGCTGAAGGGGAGGTCTAGGTGTCTCCTACCCTTGTGTCCAGCACCCACTGTGTTTTCTGCATGTGTTACCTCCTTGCCTCATGTAGGTCATTAAAATTCTGGGCACTGAGAAGGGGAAAAAGAACAAAACCAACCTGATATTTCTGGCTGGGAACCGCGTGCTGAAGTGGATGGAGAGAAGTTATGGAACTGAAAAAGCATTGACCACTCTGCTTAAGTATGCCCCCTTCTGTTGTCTCCTGCTTCTCAGGACCTGGACACCCGGGCTTAGCTTTCCTTCCTGTAAGGCAGGCAGAATAGTCTGTCTCTGGGCGGTAAGATGTGATCATAGATGACAAAGTGCAGTGGACGAACGCCCAACACCAAAAGCAGTGGGGAAGCTGGGCAGCTCTCCACGGGCCTTTCACTTGCAGGTGTGGAGCAGAGGATCACGTGGAAGCTGTGAAAAAGCTGCAGAACTCCACCAAGCTCCTGCAGAAGGTGGTTATTCCCGGGCGGGTAGAGAGTGCGTGGGCTCTGCCTGGAATAGGTCCTGGGACTTGGCCCCTCTGCCCAACCAGATGTTTTAGAGGGAGAGTTTGTCAGAGGGGAGAGTGGGGAGAATGAAGTGGAGGGAAGGCGGTGCTGTCTTGTTATCCTTCCCACCTGTCTACTCAGTTCTGGCATCCATTTCAGAACAACCTGAATCTGCTGAGAGACCTGGCTGTGCACATTGCCCACAGCCTCAGGAACAGCCCAGACTGGGGAGGTGTGGTGACGTTACACAGGTGAGAGACAAGGCAGGGGGCGTGAGGCTTTAGGGCTCAGCCTCTCCCCTGTATGCAGTGCACAGTGGGTGGCAGGCCACTCATTGGTATTCTCAAGGCTGGGTAGACCCTAAGAAATGTGTTACCTACCAGATTTTTTTGGTTGATATAAGCATCTTTCTTTTTTAATCCTCACCTGAGGATATATTTTTTTAAAATATATTTTATTGATTTTTCACAGAGAAGTAGGGAGAGGGATAGAGAGTTAGAAACATGGATGAGAGAGATCGATCAGCTGCCTCCTGCACGCCCCCCATTGGGGATGTGCCCGCAACCAAGGCACATGCCCTTGACCGGAATCGAACCTGGGACCCTTGAGTCCGCAGGCTGACGCTCTATCCACTGAGCCAAACCAGTCCGGCCTGAGGATATTTTTTCCATTGCATTTTAGAGCGGAAGGGAGGGAGGGAGGAGAAGATAGAGATGGAGAGAGAGACATCAATGTGAGAGAGAACAACATGAGAGACACATCCATTGGTTGCCTCCCACACACGCCCCCACCTGAGGTGGGGGGCAAACCTGCAAAACCCAGGTATGTGCCCTTCACTCTAACTTTCATTAGCACCTTCCCTCACCTCCTTCACCGTCTCACAGGTCTTCATTTACCTTGGTGAATCCTATTAAAGCATCGGTTCTCAACCTGTGGGTCGCGCCCCCTTTGGGGGTCAAACGACCCTTTCACAGGGGTCGCCTAAGACCATCGGAAAACACATATATAATTACATATTGTTTTTGTGATTAATCACTATGCTTTATGTTCAATTTGTAACAATGAAAATACATCCTGCATATCAGATATTTACGTGATGATTCATAACAGTAGCAAAATTACAGTTATGAAGTAGCAATGAAAATAATTTTATGGTTGGGGGTCGCCACAACATGAGGAACTGTATTAAAGGGTTGCGGCATTAGGAAGGTTGAGAACCACTATATTAAAGGGAGACAAAAATAAATGCAAAGCTTGTTAGGAGCTGCTGATGCTGAGAAGGACGTCCTGCTGGCCCTCCGCCAGCACGCTCTCTCTTTGCTGAGGGGCCTGGGACTTCGCACAAATAGGCAGCAGGGAGGCCAGCCTCACGAGGAGGAGCTGGGCATCCGGTGGTTTCCCAGCTCGCTCTCCAACCTGGATCTCACATCTGTGCCTTTTGTTGTAGGAAGGAGGGTGATTCTGAGTTCATGAATATCATTGCCAATGAGATTGGGTCAGAGGTAAGAGACGCACCCTGGGTAGAGACCTAAATGAGGGGCGTTAGTTTAGCTGAAGTCCTTCCACATGAGCACATGAAGAGTAGGGGACAGAAATTCATTCAGTATAGTTTTCTTTTTTTGTGGTAATTCTCACTCAAGGCTATTTTTTCCTTTTTTTTTTTTTTTTTTTTTAATAGAGAGTGGAAGGGAGATAGGTAGGGGAAGAGGGAGAGAAACATGTCGTGAAAGAGACACATGAATCGGTTGCCTCCACACCCCTGACTGGGGCTGGGGTTCAAACCTGCAACCCAAATATGTGCCCTTAACTGGGAATGGAACTGGTGACCTCTTGGTGCATGGGGCGACGCTCAATCCACTGAACCACTCCGGCCGGGCAGCTTTCTGTCTTCTTAAGGTTGAACCTAAGTTCCCATGGTCACTGGCGAAAAGTTTCTTGGCTCTGGTGGGCCAGAGCAGAGGGGCTGCATTATCATTCATTCGAACATCGCTTGTGTTTTAGAGAAAATGTCTTTTTTTTTAGTTGAGATAGGATGTGTCAGTTTAAGGCGTACAGCATGTTGATTTGATGCACTTATAACTGCAGTATGATTTCTAAGTCTGTTCTTGAGACTGAGGAGAGTGCACAGTATAGAGGGGTTGACCCCACATCCTTAAACATCAGGATTCATCTCCTTGTCTTACCTCCTAGGACACCCTCCTGTTCTTAACTGTGGGCGATGAGAAAGGCGCTGGGCTCTTCTTACTGGCAGGGCCAGCTGAGGCCGTAGAGACCCTGGGACCCAGGTAACCTTTCGTAGACGGCTTTGCATGGGTGGGAGAGCCTATAAGCCTGACCCAGGACAGCCCTTTATTGAGGACAGGCCGCCACATCTGCAATCTCATTTTGATTCACATCACAGACCTGTGATGTGGGCTGAAATCATTATCTCCAGCTGTCATTCCCAGTTTCATAGGTGAGGGACGGCACGCCCGGTGCCTGGGATCTCACAAAGCAGGGGCAGAACTGAGACGTGAACCCAGGTCTTTTGGCTCTAAATCCATGTGTTTTGTTTTTCTTTTAGAAATTGAGATTCATAGGTGATACATGAGTACGGGTGCTGGGATATCAGTAGGCAGATGAAGCAGGTGCTCAAGGCACCAGCAGAGGAGAGGCACGTACTCTTTGGGGGGGAAAATTAGGATTTTGAAATAAAATTTAAAAAGGCATTGATATAATTGTTAGGAAAAAGTTAGAACTTTGTTGGACTTCTTTCCCCTTGTGTTATTGTTTATACTTTGTTTTAAATTAGACGTGGTGGTGTAGTGCCCCTGTTCTTTCTAACGGAATCTTCAAGGTCCCGAGTGCCTCCGATGAATGTGTGGTTGTCGTAGGAAAACAGCTTTTAAAGCAGAGGTTCCTGACAGGCAGCCAGGATTGGCCTAGAGATTGGTTTAGCCTGTGTACTACTTTAAATTTAAAAAAAAATACTTGCTACATTTTAAAGTCAGGAGATTTTTACATAAAAAGACAGTTCTGGCTTTTCTCCAAAAAGGAAAAAAACTGGCACTCCCTGGCCACACTGGGCTCACATTCCACATGGTGGTGGCTACGAGGCACCTGAGCAGTGGCGCCCTCTGCAGACAGGACAGGCTTGTCCAGGTTGCCACAGTCCCGCCTTTCTCGCCCACCCGTTTGACTCCCTGCTGGTCCCCACGGGCGTTGTGTCTATAGCCCCTAGTGTACCTTCACTCTGCTCCCTGGAGGTTGCCATAATCTATCTAGGCCATTTCTAGACGCTTCTGTTGTTTCCAGTTATTCACTCTTACAGTAAACATGGTACATATTACATGTGCAAGTATTTTTAAGAAGGATTTCTAGAAGCCATCTACTCCTTCTCTCCCTCGTCCCCAGCCCCTAGCCCCCAGCCCCCGGAGAAAGACTCAGGGCTGCTCTTGGTTGCTCTGAGCTTTCCCCTGAGGACCTCCTTCCCCTGACATATCTCTGCTTCCCAGGGTGGCTGAGGTGCTGGAAGGCAAAGGCGCAGGGAAGAAGGGCCGCTTTCAGGGCAAGGCCACCAAGATGAGCCGGCGGGCGGAGGCACAGGTGCTTCTCCAGGACTACATCGGCACGCAGAGTGCTGAGGGGTGAGGACTCGCGCCTCCCGGCTCCACAGAAAGAGTCTCTTGGACAATAAAATAGTTCAATTTGCAATGATTGCGGTACCATGTATTACTAATTTATATAGTGTATGCCCGTGTGCTTATGCAATAATATCTGTGAATAAACAGGTCACTCATTTGGTCCCATAGACATAGCCTATGGGAATGAGTCTTACGTGGTAAGGTAATTCTGGTTCTGTCACTCGCCTGGGGAAGTTACCTTGCCTTTTTAACCTTCAGTTGCCTCGCTGATACCATGGCAGTAAGGGCAGTACCTAGTTCTCCCGGGTCTCGTGAGGTGACGTTCAACTGTAAGTGCTCAGGAAAACACTCGGTTCCCCATTGATCTAAACACAGACTTGTTGAGTCCCTGGTGTTCTGCGCCTCTTGACCTTCCCGTTGGGAGTTGATGGTAAATGCAGGGGCCGCTGCCCTACTGTCGCTCTAGGTGAGCTGTGCCCCAGGCAGTACTGAGGACATGGGTGCGGCCATCCCACGTGCTTTCCTGAGTTACTCAGGAGCTATGATTGAGCCCAAGGGAGGCTTCTTTTGAGCCCAGCAGCTCCCGGCAAATCGCTTTAATTTAGATGTTCATCTTGTTCGCACAAGGACTTTATTCAGGTAAAACTCCCACAGGAGGAAATTGTGCCGCTGTTCCTGCTGGAGGAGCAGGCAGGCAGGGAGCATGGCTTCCTAGGATTTTGCTGAGAGGAATGGAGTGGTCACCCAGGGCAGTGGCTTCTAAACTTTTTAAATAATGGAAACTTCCATGAAGTTTTACAAGTAGAAGCACAATATCGAAATGGATGAAAGCTGCTCTGATCTGGTTGGAACGGAGTGGAGGCTTGGAGCTCGACAAGCCCTTAGGAAGGCCCCGGAGTGCCCACCTGGAGCCCTAGATACCATTTGCCAAATTCACAACCTTGGCATATCTGGACGATGCTCTAACCAGCTAAGCTACCTAGCCGGGGCAGTGTTCCACTGTATTTAAATTGCAGACAAATCCCCTCCAAACAGCCCCTGAGTTTTCTTCCTCGGGGCATGTCAGTTAACGACATTTGGAGTTGGTCCTTCAAATCAAACTTTTAGTTGAATCTTGGGTCTCCTGATGAAGTTATGTGATTATGTGATTACATGTATATGTGATATACCTGTAGAAAGTTCCAGCTATGAATAAGAATGTAGTCTGCAAAACTAGGAAATCCAACTGACAATCCTTTCCGTCTTAGAAATATAAAGGAAGAGACATTCATTCGCAAGTTACCTTCTATTTAAACATAATGGCAATTTTAGAAGCTGTCTAGTACTGATTCCCAATTTTCCAACTAGGTTTTAGATCTTTCTAGGGCTATCCATCCTAAGTAAGGTCACAGAATCGAAACAGAATTCTGGGCCTGGAAGGAACCTTAGAGATCGACAACCTGATCTGGCAAGTGAGGAAATAAATTCTCTTTTTTTCTTTATTGCAGTAAAATGAACAACATAAAATTTACAATTTTCACCATTAAAGGAGATAAACTTAAGTGACTTGCCCAAAGGTGTCTCTTCCCACTTCAGAGCTCTGCCTCAAAACTCAGGGTTTCTTAACCCAGGCGACCTTGCATCTGACTTACAAGTAATGCACCAACTCCAGTTACATGTGAGTAATTGAAACAGCTGAGTCCAGCCTAGTGGGTTTGGCTCAGTGGATAAAGCATCAGCCTGTGGACTGAAGGGTCCTGAGTTCAATTCCAGTCAAGGGCACATACCTTGGTTGCAGGCTCGATCCCCAGCCCTGGTCGGGGCGCGTGCAGGAGGCAGCAATCCATGTGTCTCTCTCACATCGATGTTTCTTTCTCTCTCTTTCTCCCCCTCCCGTCCACTCTCTGAAAAATCAATGGAAAAATACTCTCAGGTGAGGCTTAACAAAAAACAAACAGCTGAGTCCATGATGAGCCCAAATCTGACAATGCCGTGTACAATGACAAACATCCAGCCCCTCATTCAGGGATAAAGCTCTCAGTTGGTGTTGGCAAAAGTCTTTCACCTTTATAATTAAGATCTTAAACGGAAGTCAACCTAACACTCAGATCCAGCTATAACTTTAGACAGACAAAGATGGTCAAGGTGTAGACGGTTAGGATGAAATAACAGAAGAGAAATAAGGAGAAAACTGACACCCAGGGTGATAAGCCGTGGTTGTGGGCAGCTGTTTCCATATTCTTCTTCCAACCCCGAGAGGAGCATTAGATGAGCTCCTGGCTATAAACATGGTTTAATGAGAGAGAACTGAAGTTGCATGGACTGTGCCTCTGGGTGGATACAGCTCTGGCAGGCAATCACTTTTCCTCATGTGTCAAGAGCCCCGAAGGAAAGAATGACAGGGTCCAGTTAGTCATCTCCCAAGTGAAAGAAGCTGAAACAACTTGTCTGGTAAGATTGAAAGCCACAAGGCAGACTACCTGTCAGGGACAGGAATTTGGAGTCCGAGGCTTTCGCCTGAAGCCAGGAGGCACATTAGTGGGAGAGCTTGGCTGCAGGGAGGTGGCCAGAAGGAAGGGGAATTTGAGTTTCTGAGGCAAAAATTTAGGCATACCTAGGGGTACAAAAGACATCAAGAGATGTTTAAAATATTTTAAAATATATATTTGTATTGATTTTAGAGAGGAAGGGAGAAGGAGAGAGAAATAGAAACATCAGTGATGACAGAATCATCGATTGGCTGCCTCCTGCACGCCCCACACTGGGGATCGAGTCCACAACCCAGGCATATGCCCTGACCAGGAATCGAACTGTGACCTCCTGGTCCATAGGTCAATGCTCAACCACTGAGCCATGCTGGCTGGGCCAAAATGTATTTTTTATTTTATTTTTATTTTTTTTAAAAAATATATTTTATTGATTTTTTACAGAGAGGAAGGGAGAGGGATGAGAGAGAAACATCAATCAGCTGCCTCCTGCACATCCCCTACTGGGGATGTGCCTGCAACCAAGGTACATGCCCTTGACTGGAATCAAACCTGGGACCCTTCAGTCTGCAGGCTGATGCTCTATCCACTGAGCCAAACCGGTTAGGGCAAAATGTATTTTTTAAAAGTCTTCAACTTTGCCCCTGAGCCACCCAATTTCCCTTGCCAGAGACAACTACTGTCACCAATTTCTTATGTTTTCTCTGGTAGTATTTTTTCATAGATGTGCATAAATCTTCCCTCTTTTGGTATATACTGTACACTCCTCTGCATTTTGCTTTTCTCAGTTAAATGAGTGCCATATTTTAAGACAAAACCATAGTATAAAATTTATGCAGAGCAAAATGACTCATTGGTGGGAGACAGGGAAGCATAATTTGCTTAAAAGAAGATTCCTTTCTTGCAGAGGGACTCAGGCAGGATTCCCTTGGACAGAGGCCCACATGAGTTCATTTTCTCTGGTGTGTGTGACCTCCCGTCCCCCTGTCTCTGTTTCAGCAGTGTGTAATAAAAAGAGGCCTCCCTTGCTTGCCATCACATGAGTTCTGGTTATTACCCACATCTGGGCTTTTCTGAGGGTGGAAGAGGTTCTCTGCACACCGCACCAGAACCACAGTCACAACCAGATGGTCTCAGGCAAACCAGGTATCTGGTCTCCCCTCGGAGACTCTCCCTGAGCCTCTTTACCTAAAAATGGGGATGTGCAGCCTGGCCAGTGTGGCTCATTTGGTTGGGTGTCCTTTGGACCATGAGGTTGCTGGTTCGATTCCTGGTCAGGGCACATGCCCAGGCTGCCAGCTTGAGTCCTGCTAGGGGGGCTTGCAGGCAGCAGCCTATCTCACATTGATGTTTCCTTCTTCTCTCTCTAAAATATCAATAAACTATTTTTTTATAGCACAAGGTGGAAGTATATTGAGAAGCAAGCACAGACTCCCACGCGGGGAGGGGGATAGAGTCCCCAATAAACTATTCTTTAAAAAATTTTTTTTATTGATTTCAGAGAGGAAGGGAGAGATAAAGAGAAAGAAACATCAATGATGGAGAGAATCATTGATAGGCTGCCTCCTGCATACCCCACACTGGGGATTGGCCCGCAACCCCGGGCATGTGCCCTGATCGGGAATCGAACCATGACCTCCTGGTTCATAGGTCAACGCTCAACCACTGAGCCATGCCAGCTGAGCAATAAACTATTCTTTAAAAAAAATAAAAATAAATAAAAATAAATAAAAACGGGGTTGTGAACATAGCATCCTAAGAAAGAAGGAACTTTCTGAAATAACTCAGGAAAATACATAAACACTTGAGCAAATTATGTGAAAACAGTAATTTAGTTGTGTAAAGAAAGGGAAAATAAAGCAGCTGGTTTTTGAACTGGTGATGTCATCGGTGCCTGTGAAAGGGGCCTTAATCCAATGCCCCAAGGAGATGGGGCAGGGGGAGGGGGGGAGGTGGTGGGGGAGCGGAGAGGAACAGTTTGTTTTCAGGGGATGGGTGGACTGTCTTTCATGAGGTTCACCAGAAAACCAAGTAGAATTAGTTTATTTATTAGAGTAACATTAAATTAGCACAAACAGAATAATAGGTATTTTATTAGCACAAAGTGTGATAGAGTTTTATGTACACATGAAATAATAGATTATATATCCTGGAACATTATTATAACCCACTTTTACAGCTTAGTAATAGTGAGAAGGGACTCCTTGTCTAAGACAGTTTTATGACTTAAGTTCCCATGAATTGCCAAAGACACGGATGCTGTGGCTTGCACCAAGGTGAGGGTCTCCTGGGTAACTAACTGTATGTGCACAGGTTGGTCAGCTGTTGCATGGGAAACAGACAAGGGGCAGTGACAGGAATTCAGGAAGTTATTGTGACTAAGTGCCCCATAGCCCCACTTCACCCTTTAGTCCTGAGTGGAAACCAGGGAGCCGGCCAAGCTGTGCTAGAATGCCAGCTCTTTTTCTTAATAAGAACTTAAATAAACTCCAGGGCCCCACTGGGAAAACAGACAGCTCAACGTACCCTATTGAGAAAGTCTCTTGCAGAAGGCTTCGGTGTCTGCCACCCCTTTCCTGAGCTTGATCCAAACTATGACTAAAGTGCCCTTGATGGAGGGCAACCAGGGCTACTTGGGAAAGAGTGATGGAGAAGTTTCCTTCTTTTTCCAGACTAAACCTTCTGTGCAGACGACTGCTGGCAGCATGCCAGGCTCTCCACTTCAAGGGACCAGTTCAGGTCTCGGTTAGCAAACCCGGGCCTGTGTCCAGAGCGGAAGAGACCCTCACAGGGGCAGTCTCCTCTCTCTTTTGCTGGGCCTTTTCACAATCCCCCTGCAGAAACACCCTTCAGCTGAGGCTTGCCGGTAAATTTCCCCGCTCAGCCTTAAACACAACCTCAAAGCCAAGTGTTTCAGAAATAAGGGTGGGTCACCAGTTTCTCCTGTTAAACGACAGTTCCTCTTCCTTTCATACCATCGTGCTTGTTGTTGTTATTCTTGTGCAGATCATAATCACAGGACTCATTTGTTCATTTATTCAACAGATATTTGTTGAGAGTAGTGTGTGTCCTGGACACTGTTTTAAGAACTGGGCCACAGTGATGAATACTACAGCTGGCCACTGCTCTTATGGTATTTATGGCCATGGAGAAAAAGACAGGAAAGACAAGCGAATAAATGCGAAATTACACATCTGTTAATTCAAAGAAGGAAAGAGCAGGGTGAAGAAAAATAGGGAGGGTTGTGACAGTGACAAGGGAGGCTTGGGGAGAATTTAGTCTCAATAAAGCAGTGTGCTTAATAGGCAAACAAAACTAACAGTTTGCTCTAAGACAATTCTGCTGGCTTCCCTTACAACCAGATGGCCATTGCTAAGCCCCTTCTTTGTAGAAATTCTCAAGCTGGGAATTTGTCTTCAGCCACAGAAGGTGACCAGGATCTTGAGGAGGCTGCTGGTTCATCAGTGTGTGGTACATATTTTGGGTACCTTTATGCGGCTGTTACGAGGAGGCAAAGAGTAAGACCAACATGAGTCTTGTGCTGCTCTGCACCCCAACGAGCCCCTCTCACCACTGCTAGGCCATCTCTTCTGACCCCTGAGGCCTTTCTCCCTCTCCATCGGCAGAAAATAAACCCTGCATTACACCTCGGCAAAGAGAGGGTGGAAGACACAATAGTCCGACAAAGACCCCATGCACACAGGGAAGGTATGCTTGATAGAAACCTCTGCCAGTTGCAATTTCAAATAGTGAAAAGCAGACTTTAGTGCCACTGCACAATTATTATTGGTTTGGTATTGTTTTAATTATAAGTTGGTATTAAACCAACACTTACCTAGGTCTACCAGGCATTGTTCTAAGCACTTTGATTCTCATTAAAACCCTATTGTCACCCCCAGTTTACAGACAAGTATATCGAGGCACAGCAGCTTGCCTGAGGTCACTCGGCTAGTAAATGGTAGGGCCCAGCTTTGAGCCAGCAGTCTGGCTCTGGAGTCCTTCAGCCAGACCATGTGGCTTCTTGGTATGTCCATTAACATAGTTTAACAGAGTGCACAGATGATATCTACGACCAATATCTTTTCTTTTATAAACTAGCCTCTCTCATGGTGAAATAAGTGATTTTAGGACAAGGGCATTTAAGGACCTTGAGGCTGTCTGGTGCTTTTGGCAAGGAGAAAAGACCAAATAAGCAAGCTAT